GAAGTCTTGTCATTGACGGAAGCAATAGACATCGTTGAGAAAACAGAAAAGTTCGACCATGGATCATCAAAGAGCTTAGAGCCTAGTGAAATGGATGGCATGAACTTAGCTATGAGTTTAAAGCAGAGTGATTGTCCATCTCCGAGTTTCATAATCGAACGCTTTCTTCCGGACGCCATAGCATTGGCTGCATCATCTGCTATAAGCATGTCCAAAACAAAGCTTCCTTACTTCTGCAATTATTCGGATCAGTCACCATGTGTTTCCCAAGCGGTGTTAAAACGATCATCACTGTCTTCTTCCCCAAAGGGTTGTGGGCTAGAAATGCTGTTGCCATGGCGGATGAAGCACAGGCTTTGTATCGTAGAAATCCAATCAAGGAAAGGCCAAACAATATTATCCAACCAAAAGCAGAATAAATTGTTGTCATCAATTGTAGCGGCTTCTGCTGAATGGAGATGTAAATAATAGAGCTTTGTTTTTGCTATGTATATACATATAGTGCGTGAAAACAAATGATTAGATGTACTTCTGGGATCTCATTTATTTTTTATGAGCAAATTTCTTAGTTTTAGAAATTATTTCAATTCAAATCTATTAATAATTTATTATTCTACTCTAAACTTAATTAAATGAATAATAATTTAAATTTTATGAAATTAATTTTCATTTTTTTTTGAAAAAAACGTACTTTATCATTGCCATAAAAGTCACTTACAATGCAGGAAACCAACAAACAAACTCATGTGTACTTATTTCAAAGGCATATTAGGAGAATCAGCCTCCAGTAAAATGAACTACAAATTGAGGAGGCTGCTCAAAGTCAATCCTTATTAGAACCGGACGCTAGTCTCTCTCTTGCAAATGCATCAGCAACAGCATTCCCCGAACGACCCACGTGCTGGAAAACACAAGACCCAAAAGATTGTGCATGAGCCTTGATACTAGATATGATCGACCTGTCATAGGAATAGTCCTCCAACGGAGATCTGACGCAGGAAATGGTGGACCTAGAATCGCCTTCCACTATAATATGCCTATAACCATAAGCCGCAGCCAATTTCAAACCCTCCAAGCAAGCCACAGACTCAACGTGAAAAGCATCCATGGCATGGAAAAGCAGCCGAGTACATGCACCCACAAACTAACCTCCAGAATCTCGGAGCACACACCTAACCCCTCCACGACCCAGTTCGAGGAGAAACGAGCCGTCAAAATTCACCTTTATCTCTCCTTGGGGAGGAGGCTTCCACAATCGAACGACAGGGAATGTCACCACGTCCCGAGGTGTGCACGAAACAAATATCTCCTGTATGACAAAACCCTGAATTTCAACGTCATAAGTCACTGTTCCCTGATGAAAATGATGGTTACGAGCCCCCCACAAAGTCCACAGTAGAACGAACAATCGTGGAATACCAGTCTGGGAAAGTTGAGCAAACATTACTAGGAGCCATTCTCTGAAATCCGGAACTGCCATGTTGAGGAGATGAGACCATTCAAATAACTCCCAAACCGAAGTCAACAGATTACAATCCCGAGATAGTGCAAAACAGTTTACAGTGACCCACCACAGCGGAAGCAAGTCGGAACCAAAGCCACATGCTTCTGATTAAGATTAGCATAGCTAGGGAGAGGTTGCGAAAAGCTCTCCAAACAAAAATCTTTATCTTCTCCGGGAGAGATTGAGAGCACAACAACTGATAAAACACCCGATCTCTGTCATCAAGGCTGGCGCGATGATGATCCAAATGAATGAGGAAGTTATAAGAACTCCGGACAGTAAACGACCATGGTTCTCGAGGCGTCACACTAATCTAGCCCTCCCACCTTCAGCTGGAAGAGGGATAGACAAAATAGGTTGAGCAATAAAATTACTATTCCTTGAATAAATAATTTTTAACGGCCCATTAATCAATCAAAATTTTTCTTTTTGTTCAAAGTTTAATCAAATAATTTATTAATAAGATGATTTAGGCTAGCAAAAGAATCATTCAAACTTATATATGTAGCTTAAGATAATATATAATTAATTTTAATTTTTTCGTCAGTTAGTTGCATCTTCATTAAAAGTCATATGCGAAAATAATTATTACGTAAAATAGTAATCAAATCATTTATCCTTAATACGGTCATGTTCCATTTTCATAAACATGGTGGCATAATTTTTTTTATTCGAGATCAAGAAAGTTAAATCGTAGAGGGGGAAAAAAGAAAGACAACAGAGCTTCTGGTATTATCATTGGACGAAGAAGGTGGTTAAAGCGACGTCAGTAGTGAATGACGATAACGTGAGCTAAGGAACGATTGAAAGAGTTATTAAAGTTGTTTGAGAGGTGAAAATTAAATAAAAATAATAATTAGGGTTAAAAGGAAATTTTAAGAAAATTTAAATTGATATTTTATATACAATTTAAGAATTAAATTAAAAATTAATCACTTTTAATATGCAACATCATATATATATATATAATTAGAGTTAACTACTTAGTGAAGAAATTGTAATTAATGATAAAATAAATTATTACAGTATATAATTAAAAGTTAAAGAGTCAAAACCAGAAGAAATCCAAACAAAATTGACCTCCTCTGTAATTTACCCAAATAATTTGAAAGATCGATGTTGACCCCATTTCAATTTCTTGTTCCAAAGGTCTTTCCTTTTTTTTCTTTTCTAAAACGCTTGCCTTAATTTGTCTCTCTGTTTGGCGCTCGAAGTTGAAGAAAAGGAAACCCTAAAAAAAAATGGGGGAATCCACGAGAATGATTGATGTGGAGAAGCTGATATCTTATAGTGAAGATCTGGTGGCGGTGTTGAAGGACAGAAAGGACATTACCAACGCAACACAGTGTTTACAGCACTTTACCGATCTCCGCTCGCATTGCGACTCTGATTCCAAAGAGGTTTATCGATTGCTTCAAGGTCTCTTTCCTTTTCTACTAATCTTCGTTCCCGCAGAAATTAAGAGGAAAAGAATGAAGATCTTTTTCTTCTTTTTATTTTTTGAAATGCAGAATATGAAGAAAAGATCGAAGCTTGCAAGAAGAAAACAGAGCAGGCAAAGTCTGAGGTCGTCGATTGTGCTGAAATGGATTATCTGCAGAAGGAATTCCAAGAGGAATTTGAAAAAGAACGTCAACTTAAGGAGGAGTTTAGATAAGTAAATGCATTTGTGGTCGTTTTTTCTATAGATGATTTGTAAGGCTTTGGTTTTATGGTGTTTGATTTATTTATCTCTTAAATCTTCTTTTATAAGAACACGTCTATTTGCAATGAGATAATGGAGCTGGAACGCCAGAGGGGTTCGATCGAAGAACAGAAGAAAAAGCTAAGGAATTGTGACCAAGACAAGCTCAAAGACCAGTAAGTTCAGGAACTCCTATTTCTGTACCAATTCATGTTTGGTTGTTCTTATACTGTTAACTGTTCTTTGCATGAATGTGTCTCTTAGAAAAATAAGAGAAAGATCTTGACTTGAATTTCTGAACATTGATTTCCATGTATATGCTTCTTGGTGGGTATAGTTAGGCCCGTAAAGGAATCAAACGTTCGTTCGTTTATCTTTAATCGAACAAATGAATGAACACGACAATAAGCGAGCACAAAATTTATTGTTCGTATTCGTTCGTTAAGGAATGTAGTTTGTTCGTGTTCGTTCTTGTTCGTTCATTTAAATGATAAACGAACACAAATGAACAAACATAAACGAACGGAAGTAAACGAACGAATGTAAACGGACATAAATGAACACAATAAACGAACATAAACGAAGCTGCACAAACATAACAAATGAACATAATCGAACACAATAAATGAACGTAAACGAATGTAAACAACAACAACAATAACCAGATAAAATTCATTACTCATTAATATAACCTATAACTTCAAAGTTAAAATTATTTGGGTTTTAAATGGGCATGGTTTATATTTTCTTTAATTGATTTTAGTTTAAAATTATTTGGGTTTTAAAATATTAATGATTGGATCTTAATATTTTAAATGGGTATGGAGATTGGGCTAAATATAAATAAACGGACAAACGAACATACACAGAGATAAATGAACAAACATACATGGACATAAATGAACGAACGGATTACCGGACGTAAATGAACAAACAAAAACTTGGTTCGTGTTCGTTCATTTAATTAAACGAACATAAAATCTCGTTTATGTTCGTTCATTTAATAAATAAACAAACATAAACGTACTTCTTACCGAACGATTCACGAATGGTTCGCAGAACGTTTTATTCGTTTACGGACTTAGGTACAATGGGTGTTTTTCCTTAAAATGATCCAGCCTGGATTGATGCAAATGGGATTGGTGATGTTTGTTTGAGGAGTGGTTTCTTTTATAGTTTGAATTATTAAAAGGTTATCTCTTTTGAATTTTATTAGATTTTTTTGTTTAATGCAGCTACCTGAACCCTATATCTTAAAGGAGCACAATATTCCCTTTTACCACTGGCTCCACTCAATGTGTTCTCTTTTCTTAATTCTTGATTATGGTTTTATTTTAATTGATTTATTTTCCTTTTAAGAATAGATTTTCTCTTTTATGAAATAGGACTGGTCCTTAATTAAAGGGACATGAAAGGGAAGCAAAGTTTATATAAAAAACCCTACTAAGATCTAAGTCTCTCCTTAACGAGTCATTAAGTTTTAGTCTCCATTTGATGAGCTGAACTATCGATCCTAATATTTTTCTCATCCCAAAAAAGTGTTGTCATGGCTACTATGCTTTCCCAAGTTGTCTTTTGTTGAGTGTCCAGAGTTCAGAAATGAATCATTGTTCTTTGATATTGCAGGAGAAAGCTTTCAATGTATGCCTCTGTAACTAATATTATTCCAGACTTGGACGACCAATCCAAAATCTCAGGCCGTATCCTTCCGATAAAATATTATTTTTTCCCTTCATCTTGTTTCATTTGCCAATTATCAGTTTTTTTCCATATTCAAAGTCGTTTTTATTTGCTTTATGAGATTCTCCTTGATTTAAATTTATCACAGATATAGTAGATAGAGATAAAAAGGTGGTCAAGAAGTTTGAATTTGACCCATCAAAAATGACTGCTTTTGATGCTTGTGATAGCCTGTGGAAGATGATAAATTCCCAATAGCCATTGCTTATACTTTTTCTCGGTTGATATATGTAACAAAATATGTAATGTTTTGTGTTTCTCTGCCTGTGCTCAAAACCTTCATATTTGAATGCTTGATATTACGTGTAATAGATGATTTTGGTTCTTCGAGTCTTGGTTGAAGTATTACATTTGATCGATTAGAGCAAATTTGGTACCAAATTAAAAACTTTTCAAAATTGCAAGCAGGCTAAACATACTAGGACTAAATGATAAACAAGTAATATTAACAAATTTCGAACCATAGTTATTATTTTCACAAACATGTACAAAATTGATAAGGCATACAAATTACAAGGTGTTCTGGAGATTTGGACCCATCAAGTTCCTTCATGCAGATCAGACTATATAGCTCGGAGCTTCAAAATGCTTCTTGAAAGGATCGAGTATGCTAGCAAAGGGAATGATAAGATCGAACCACATAGGGAGAAAGTCTCCTAGGGAAATCAAGAAACTGACAATTAAGTTGGTAAGGCAATAACAGTTTTAAAAACAAGTGTTAAGATGATGTAGAAGGCCGGCACTATATTTAACATACTTACAATAGTTAGAATTATAAACTACTGTAAATGCTGGCATAAATTCAAACAGAAGAAACCAACTTGCTCAAAATCAGAATGAGATTAGTAACATGTAACCCTTCAAAAGGGCATGCAAAGTGCTCTTTAGAATCAAATGACAGCATTGCTAGGGTGGCAAAGATCAGATCTACACTAGATCACAGTAAACTGATGATGTTTATAACACATAAAAATGGTCCAAATATATAAAAGCAAAGCTACGTTGACGACTGAGCAATCACTGAAACAAGTTAACTTTTGTAAACAAACTGTCAAAAAGGAATATAAAAATTATACACAACTACTATAACCCTTTAATCAAAATTTGTTGAAGTGTGTTTTGATATAATAATTTATGACAAAATGTTTTTGGACTTGAATTGAATTTATTCAAAGTTTTCAAAAATAATTCAAAGTCCATTTAACTTGGAATTAAACACAAAATGTTTTTCTAGACAAGAATTACCGATACTGTTCATACAGCATCGATACCTCATGAACAGTATCGATATTGTTCATATGGTACAGATACCAAAGATAAGGGAAGTATCAATACTCACTAGGTGGTATCGATATTACCAGCATTGCTCAAATTTCATAATGCAAAAATGGTACCGATATTCAAAAGGGTACCTATACTCAAAGGGGTACCGATACTACTTTACATAGTAGTATCGGTACCATAGGCTTAGTATCGATACCGTCAAGCCCAACGGCTAGTAACGGCTAGTTGTATTTAAAAATAACAAAGATAGTACCGATACTCCCTATAATTGTACCGATACCCTCTATACTGACAGTTTATTTTGCGGAGAAAACATCCCAATGACTCCAAATCACTCCCAATGGCTAAAAACGGCCACAAACTCATTCCAACATATAATTACAAGTTCAAGACACTTGAAGAAGGGTTATAACACCTATCCAAGCAATCAAACACAAGAGAAGAGTTTGTTCATTCCAATTTTACTTTATCTTATAAATATTTTTATTCTTGTGAGCTTTAATCTTGTAAACACCCTACCTTGTATAGGTTCTCTTGTTTACATTTCTTTTCTTTTGTAAAAAAAGATTGGTTCTAGTTTAGCGATTGAAAAACTAGGAAGTGTAAAGGTTATCTCTTTATCTTGTAAAAAGAAAGAACAAATTAGTGAATTTGTTAGAAAATCCTTAGTAAGGAGCTAAGGTAGTGGAGATAGACTTAATTGAAAAATCAAACCACTATAAATTCTTGTGTCAACAATTTTCTATCCCTTTAAATCTCATTACTCCTTAAAATTCATAAAAGCCAATTCAACCCCTCTTGACAATATTTTCGGTTGTCAAAATTGAGCTTCGAAAATCTCAACAAAATTATTAGATTGTACTTATTTTAGGATTTTCAACCTTATCTGTTTGACTTGGTTGCAACCCATCATTTCTGGCTTTACGCTCAACACTTTCTGCTTCAATTTTTAGCATCTTGAAGGAATGCAAAAGTCCACTACAAAGACAACATGACATAGAACTCTCTTTATTCTGCAGCTCAATGGTTTTTAGCTTTTTTGTAAATTTTCTCTACATCCTTCTGAAAAGACAACAATGTTTGAGAATTTATAAAACTTGTTACAAATTATAAAATGAGCAGAACATTGTGTGGTGCAGTGGAAATAGAATAAGAACAGGAAAGATGAAATACGAGTTTATTTTCAAATAAACAACAATCAACCAAATCAAATGAGAAATTGGAAAATTCAAGTTAAATACAATGTACTAGTGTAGACACACGTTTTCATCCGGTTTCTATTAATATGTTAATAGTTAATGTGCTATGGTTTAGGGTATATAACGTAAATATATTATATTATATATATATGCATATTGTGTTATATACTTTAATTATATTATATACACATATTAACATATTTTTCCATTTATTTACAGGGTCATGTCCTAGGCCCAAATACAAATTAAATTCACCCAAAATGGGTGACCCAATACATCAGAAATCCAAGACCCAAACAGTGGGTAACCCGGGTTCAGGACCCGCGAACCACTGGATCCCCACGACCCGATTTGAAACCCAGTGCAAATTAGGGGTTGTTCTTCTTAACCCTAGTCATTAACGCCGTTCTTGAAGACCCTTCGATCAGCCACACATCCCAATCAAACCCTGAACCATCCGACGATTTCCTCGGCAACAACCCATCACCAATAAACACAACAACTGTGTTAGTATTTCGCACGAAGTTAGATTCCTAAAAATATGACCCCCTTTTTTGCTATAAATTAGACACAAATTCACACGGGGCCAGGAAGATTACGAGCAAAATACACACAAAAGAATACAGAGTTTTTCAAAGAAATATCGAGGAGATTCATTTCGAAACAAGAAGGAGAGAGGGTACTAACCTCTCGGCCGGAGCCTTTTTCCGGCAACCGGGGAATCCATCTCTTGTCTTCTTCAACCTGAAGCATCACTTTCTCGGGAGCCTCCTCGATCCAAAAGGAGTTTTCATTTCCAGCCGAATCATCCGCGATCAAATATATTGAAAGAGGAAAGAGGAAAGAGGTTTGAGGATGATGACAAATGACAAGCCCTATGCGCATGAACCAACCACGTGGGATCTTTAAAGACTGTTTTCTCGACTCGATTGGATAAGGATGGTTTGATGGAGATTTGGAAGTTTTTGTATTCAAGTGTTCTAATGATATAGATGTTGCTTACAAAAACAAAAGATAATGCGTAGACTATGACGTGGCAAGTAGAGTTATGGAGTTCAATTGTGTTGATTGTCTCTTTCTGGAGAAAACTGTGTGTTTAAGGTATATGTCTACATGTTGGTATTTATTTCTTTATTTTATTATCATCTTCTTATCCCATATAATGTGTTAAGTATTAGATCAAGTGGAATTGGTCAAATCATGCTGGTATTATGCTTTTCAATGGACTATAATCTTCTAATAATAGACCATAATTTCATAGTTAAGTTTGAGTATTTTTTTATTTGTTTTATTTGTTTTTATTTGTTTTTATTTCTTATTTTTTATTTTTTCCTTGTGATTTATTATTTTTTTATTATTTATTATTTTCATTTTTTATGTTTTTTTAATTTATTTAATATTTTTTATCTAACACTTTCGACTCTTTTAAAAGAATTCCAACTGATCAAAGGTAAACAATTCAAATCGAATGCTTTTAAATTTAAATTTCAAATTTTCACAAATAAAACAACCGATAAATTAATTGATACCGAGAGGGTGGTTCAAGGGTGCTAATCATTCCTTTACCGTAACCAACTCTCGAACTCGACATTTCTGGTAAAACGCAGATCAGATAAGATGGTGTCCGATCAACCTAAAATTGTTTTTAAATGATCGGTGGCGACTCTAACCCAATTCACTCACGTCGAAGCCCAATTTTGAGCCCAACCGAAAGACGGTCGCGACAACTAGCCTCAGCAATCTAAACCCTATCTTATTTTCTAAAATAAAGTAAAAGTAATTGTACAGAATGTAGTGCCAAGTCATTACTGTATAGTAACACTGAATAAAACTAAGGGTCTCAAACCACTTTATATGCAATATTTTTTTTCAAACATCAATAACCAGAAGGTGTCGGGGAAATACATGATTGAAACCACATAGTGAGAAGCATTTCTATAAACAAATCAAGAAAATGATCATGCAGTTGGGAAAGAAATAACAGTTTACAGAAAACTGATCACATAACGTAGAGGCCACTACTATATCCCATATTCTTATAATAAACAATTACAGTAAATGCTGTCATGCCAGCTATCAGAACAGGAGGAAACTAGTTGCTCAAATTCAATAATGCAGCTTTCTCTTTTGCATCATAATTGTCGAAACGATTTTTTTCTCAAAAAGTGAAAAAAGGTGAGATTTTGAAAACCACATTAATTCTTAATTATCTCTTTTTAATTTAAAAACAAATGCGATTTAAAAGACCTCTCGTTTCAAAAATTTTTGGATTTCCTTTACGATCGAAAAATACGGTTCAAAGAGTCGCCACCAATATTTGATTAGGGTGTGATTGGGCACCCAAAAATGCTTTGTCATTTTAAATAAAAATTAATTTTAATTAAAACAACAAATTGAAGTCTGCGTTACCAAAATCCGAGTTCGGGAGTCGATTACGTGTGGGGAAGGATTATCACCCCACAACGCCCTAAATCGGTATCTAGTCGATTAATTAACGTTTTTGCAATGAACTTTACAAATTCAAACTTAATTTGATTTTTGATCCCATAAAACAAAGATATAAATTTAAAAACATTAAACAACACTCAAACAAATTAAATTAAAATTACCAAGTCGTTTTAGAAAGATAAAGAATGTTCGATTATTTACAAATATCGAGACCAGATCTTAAAGATATAACAACATTTTCTCGATATATTTAAATAAACGAACATTTCTTTTTCTCTCGTTCCCAAATTTTAGGTGACGAATCAATTTTTTAGTTTCACTTTCGGGATACACTTTTATTTTAAAATCATTAAAAGCGGACCTCAAATCAGTTATGACTGCCCACTTACAACAATTTTAAATTAAAAGGGTATTACCCTTAATCTAATTATGTAATATGTCGAGTTATCATGCATATTATGCAAAATAATGTCATGCAAAAATTAATTAAAAAAACATTAAAAATATCATATAACGTAGCATACAAAAAATTATATACGTATATTTTAATTACAAATTATAAACTATGCCTATTAACATACAATGTACAAATATGACTCAAAATATAAAAACAAAAACATAACATGCTAAACTAAAAATTTAAAAAGTATATACATAAATGTAGTGACTAAATTTGAAGAAATGTAAAATTTAGTATACTACACAAATTCAGACCATTTTAACATTAGTAATTAAATTATACATAATATTTACATGTTATCATGAAAATATGAAGAAACAACATAATGACCTAAATGAATAAACACATAACTCTTAAGGCTAAAGTCATAGAATAGACAAAGTTCAAGTCATAGAACACTAATAATTACATTTCATATACTAAAATCAAAATAAAATCACAAATGTATGCAGGACTAAACTGTAATCCTCAAAAGAAGCACGTCAAACAAATAAAATATCAAAGTAAGTGAATTCTAGGATTAAAATGAAACACATGCAACAACATGAGGTTCAAATGTCTAAAACAACAAAAAAAAATTAAATAAACTACTACTTGGGACTTAAATTAAATACGGGAAAAATATAGAGACACAATCAGAAACTCTAAAACCATGATTTAAGGATCAAAACGCAAGACTCTGAAAGTTCGGATGGCCCCTACAATGGATACCTACACGCAAAATGGACACTCCAACTCCACTGAACGCTGCCGTTTCATTAAGCCATTATGCATGTAATTTCAAGTTTTAAAAAAACCTTAAATTCCTTTCCTCTTTCCAGCCGTAACCCCCATATTCTCAAACAACACCTCTCACCCATCTCCTTCATTTACAACAACGTTCCTCCTCCTCTCTCTCTCGATGAACTCTAAACCAAGCCTCAAAAGAGAGAAAACAAGCTCGAAGATTGGCCAAGAACTCCGACGATGCGACCCTGACAACCAAGGTAACACTACCATTCCCTTTACATCATGTTACTTATGGAAACTCTATAAAACGAAAGGGGAAAATGAAAATCTCTTGAAATCTCTTGCTTTGCTATGATTTCTGTCTTAGAAAAGTAACAGTGAGAAAGAATGATTCTGCTCGTCACTTCTTGTTGATTCGACTGTGTGGTCGATTTTAAGAATAGCCACTTTTTTTTACAACGTTGATGGATGATTTCTTTCTTTTACTATTTTTGAAATGATGCAAACACACACAAAGAAGAACTAGAAAACGAAAAGAAAGCAAAATCAGAATACCTTAAAATTCCTTGTATTTTATTGTTTTCTCTGGTTTGGAATTGTGAGGATACACTATTGTCTCTCTTTGTATTCTTCTACAATATGGAATTGTTGATGACTAATGGAGTCTTCGGCTGGTAGTCCCTAATTGTTGTTTTCTTCGCTTCTAGTGTGAAAAATCCCCTCTGACTCTCTCAATTCTAAATTTTTCTCTGTTCGTGTTCCCTCCTTGATGAAATCCTCTCTGTTTTTTTGTTGATTCCTCTTTTTTTTCTTTGCTGTGTGATCCCTGTTTTTGTTCTCTCTCCCCCCTCTCGTGATCGTGATGAACTACTGATATATCTCTCTAGTTCTCCATGTTTTTTTTGTTTTTTTCCGTGTTGTCCCCCTGTTTCTGGTGGTTAATTGCCCATTAAAAACTGACCCTCCACTCTCTATAAACCGTTCCCCCTTTCTGCTCAAAACTGCCTATCTTATTGGCATAATTCAACTGAGCACGAGTTGGGTTAGATATCATGTTGGGCTCGATTCGAATTGTTTAATATTCTATAAGCCCGGACAAAACGAGCATCTACAGTTACCCCTCTTTGCTCATTGTTGTGCAACGATAATAAAGCAAAGATCAATAGATGGTCGAGTTTGTCCAGCCATGAGAACTTCAAAAGGTTAATCCGCTTCTCTGCTACTCCTAGATAAACGAGACTTGAAATATCTTCAAATGATGGGTCCACTCCCTATTCTTTTAGGGAGTATAAGACTCGGACAATCTTCGGCAAACGTGTTTGCTCCCTATTTATTCAGGGAGTATAAGACTCAAACAATCTTCAACAAACGTGTCTGCTCCCTATTCCTTCAGGGAGTATAAGACTCGAACAATCTTCATAAAACGGGTCCGCTCTCTATTCCTTCAGAGAGTATAGGACTCGAACAATCTTCAATAAACAGGTCCGCTCCCTATTCGTTCAGGGAGTATAGAACTCGATCAATCTTCATAAAACGTGTTCGCTCTCTACTCCTTCAGAGAGTATAGAACTCGAACAATCTTCATGAAACAGGTCCGCTCTCTATTCCTTCAGAGAGTATAGAACTCGAACAATCTTCAACGAATTTGTCCTCTCCCTATTCCTTCAGAGAGTATAGGACTCAATCTTCAACAAACGAATTTGCTTCACTACTCTTCCGTGAAGGCTTAAGATGATTTGCTTCACTACTCTTCCGTGAAGGCTTAAGTTTGAATTGCTTCACTGCTCTTTCATGAAGGCTTAAGATTGACCTGTTTTGAAGGTCCAACCTGAAAATCAAACATTATCAATCATTAATGTATGTTTGAAAATATTATATTAAAAAATTTAGAATTTGATAAAATTTTTGAAAATTCATCTCCATCGCGAAAACTTGTCTGGAAATCATTGGATACGTGAATCTGCTTTAGCTCAGTTTTCGTATAAACATCATTCTTTTCAAAATCTCCAAACCAAATATCTTCCTCTCGATGCTTCAATATCTTCAATCTTCAACTATCATTGGGAAACCTGCAAATGCTTAAGTCATCATGCAATTATGAGTGCCATGATCCTATTCATGCCTAAATGTATGCAAATATGCAATTTGATGCACTTTCTTCTTCGAAGGAACTCTATCTCCTTTGATCTCGATGGAACTCGGCTTCATCTTGGGCACAGAACGTTTGACCAGTTCACCCCAGTTGACAATCTCAATTCCATATCTCTCGCCTTAACATGACATTGGATCCTTTCTTTCTTGAAACCCGCCAGTATCCATGACCAACTTCTCGACAAACAACAATCTCTTAGGGTCATCTTTTAATGGCTGAAATTTTCTACGAACTTCAAGATTTCATTTTCCCGTAACCACACAAGCTTACATGTTAAAACCATCATCAGCTTCAAAATACCTACATTTTCCAAAACCTTTTGCACAATAATACAAAATGATCTCATGTACTTCAAGTTAAGCTATATGTTTTAACCTTTCAAAATAAGATGTTTACAAGAGGGAAACGAACAAGGAAATACATCTCTTTATTTATATAAATGTCGAGAATTTTCAGGTAACTACATGGCAAACTTTTAACTGGAAACAATAAAAGAACAAAAGAGATAATACAAAATGATCATGTACTTCAAGTTAAGCTATATGTTTTAACCTTTCAAAATAAGATGTTTACAAGAGGGAAACGAACAAGGAAATACATCTCTTTATTTATAAATGTCGAGAATTTTCAGGTAACTACATGGCAAACTTTTAACTGGAAAATAAAAGAACAAAAGAGTAGGCGTCTTCAAATATCAATAATGCAAATGCTTTTGAACTGGCACGCCGTTAGAATATCTCGAGTGTAGCTTCTGTCAAAACGATCTCCAAAATTGTGATACTTAAGAGTATGAAGCTGCTTATAAACTCCCAGATCTCTATCATTGGATGCCCTAAACCAGTATTGAATCTCATGTGCATTCAATTTCTCTTGGTTATTTCAATTGAGACTCACTAATCTTTAGTCTCATCCCTGATCACCAACTGTCATTGTTACTATCCATATCAGGAGCTCTTTCCACTTCCAAAATTGATTCAGAACCTCCACCATGTGCGAATTCTGAATTTCAAATTCAACTTAAGTCGCCCTTTGCGGGTTTTCAACTTGAGACCTCCTTTGGTTCCAAGACGCCATTTTTGGGTTTTCATCTTGAACCCTCCTTTTATTTCTCTTTTTTTCATTTTTCTCTTTTTCATTTTTCATTTTTTCTTCCCTTTTCCATTTTTTTTCTTCTTTTTTTTTCATTTTTTCAACATTTTCTTTTTCTCTCATTTTCTCATTTTCTCTTTTATTTCTTCTTCAAGCAAAATATCTCTTAACAACGTCAGAATTCACTGGATATGGTAATTCTGATCCGTCCATTTCAGTTAGGACTAGAGCTCCCCCAGAAAAGGCTTTCTTGACAACATAAGGTCATCCCCAATTGGGCATCCATTTTCCTCTGAAATCCTTCTGAATAGGCAAAATCCTTTTAAGCACCAAATTTCCTTCATGGAATTCTCGAAGGTGAACTTTCTTACCATGTGCCCGTATCATACGTTTTTGGTACATCTGACCATGACAAATAGCTTTCAATCTCTTTTCTTCAATCAAATTCAACTGGTCATACCTAGCCTGGACCCATTCTGCCTCATTGAGCTTTCCCTCTGACAAAATCTGAAGTGAAGGAATTTCCACCTCAACAGGTAAGACAACTTCCATCCCATATACCAGAGAAAATGGAGTTGCCCCAGTTGACGTTCGTACAGAAGTTCGATAGGCAAACATAGCAAATGGCAACTTCTCATGCCAATCCTTATAGGTCTCAGTCATCTTCTCTATGAGCCTTTTGATGTTCTTATTGGCCGCCTCTACTGTCCCGTTCATCTTCGGGCGATAAGTGGTGGAATTATGATGCTTTATTTTAAACTATCTACTGCTTCTACCCACTTGGTGAAATAATATATGGCTACCAGAATGAAGCGATGACCATTTGAAGCTTTGGGCGAAATTTGTCCAATAACATCCATGCCCCACATTGAGAATGGCCACGGCGCTGTCATTACATGCAATGGATGAGAAGGAGTATGTATCCTATCTCCATAAATCTGACACTTGTGACATTTTCGGGCATAATTGATACAGTCTGTTTCCATAGTTGACCAATAATACCCAAATCTCATAATCTGCCTAGCCATAGCATGCCCATTAGCATGGGTACCACATATTCCCTCATGCACTTCTTCAAGAATCAATTTGGCTTCTTTCGCGTCCACACATCTTAACAAGACATGATCCAGACTTTTCTTGTATAGAGTCTCACCATCAAGCACATATCCTGATGCCATTCTTCTAATGGTTCTCTTATCATTCTCAGTGGCCTGTTCTGGATAACTCTGATACTTATATATTGCAAGATATCATAATACCAAGGGTTTCCATCTCTTCCTCTTCGATATTAAAACAATGGCTGGATACTCATAAGCCTTCATTTCAATGGGCATCATATTGAATGCTCGTTCATCTTAAACGATGCTGCCAGTGTGGCTAAGGCATCTGCCATTTGATTCTCTTCTTTGGGGAGGTAATTGAAAGTTACTTCTTCAAATTCTTCAACAAGCTCCATAACCAACTTACGGTATTCTACAAGCTTGGGATCTTTTGTCTTCCATTCTCCTCTGAGTTGGTATATTACCAAAGCTGAATCTCCATATACTTTAAGCATTTTTACTTTGCAATCAACGACAGATCTAAGACCCAGAACACAGCTTCATACTCGGCCATTGTTTTACAATCAAAATTAGCCGACTGGTGAAAGGATAATGCTCTCCCTCTGGTGAGACCAAAATTGCCCCGATTCCATGTCCCAAGGCATTTGAAGCACCATCGAAGTTCAACTTCCAATATTTTCTAGTAGATGCAACTGCTTCTTCTACCGAAATAGCCATTAAATCTTCATCTGGGAAATCAAAGCTCAACGACTCATATTCTTCCGAAGCCCTGCTTGCAATGAATTCCGCTATAGCACTTCCTTTAATTGCAGTCTGGTTTACATACTGGATGTCAAATTCGGACAATAGGATCTGCCAACGAGCTAATCTTCCAGATAATGCAGGCACACCCATTAAATATTTCAAGGGATCAAGCTTGGATATAAGCCAAGTAGTATGATACAACATATATTGTCTAAGCCTTCGGGTAGCCCATACTAAGCGCAACACAACTTTTCAATGGGTGAGTATCTTGTCTCACATTCAGTGAACTTCTTACTGAGATAATAGATAACCCTTTCTTTCTTCTCAGTTTGGTCACGTTGCCCCAGCACACACCCCATTGAATTTTCATAAACTAACAAATAAAGAATCAAGGGTTTGCATGAGATGGGTGGCGCTAAGATTGGAGTGCTGGAGTGCTCGACAATATCTTTCACTGCTTCAAAGCTCTTTGACAATCCTCACTCCATTCCCTGAGTTATTCTTGCGAAGAAGGCAGAATATGGATCACACTTTTCCGTCAGCTGTGAACGAGCTATATAATTCAATCTCCCCAAAAATCCTCTGACTTCTTTTTGTGTTTGTGGGGCTGGCAAGTCTGAATAGCCTTTACTTTATCTGGGGTATATTTCATTCCTTTTTGGCTTACTATGAATCCCAACAACTTCCCATATGTCACCCAAAAGTAAATTTATTGGGTTGAGTTTAGCTGGCATCTTTTAGTCTTTTAAAGAGTTTTTTCAAATTCCCGATATGTTCTTCCTCTGTCTTAGCTTTGACAATCATATCGACATAAACTTCTATCTTTATGCATCATGTCATGAAATAAGTCCATGGCCCTTTGATATGTTGCCCCAGCATTCTTCAATCAAAACGGCATACTTATAACAAAACGTTCCCCACATGGTAACGAACGTTGTTTTTCCATATCTTCAGGGTTCATCTTAATTTGATTATAGCCAGAGAGAAACCATCCATAAAAGAGAACAAGAATTTCCAGCAGTATTATCCACTAGCGTGTGTATATGTGGCAAAGGAAAATTATCTTTTGGACTAGCTCGGTTGAGATCCCTGTAGTCGACACACATTCGAACTTTCCCATCCTTCTTCGGTACTGGGAAATATTCGCCACCCATTCAGGATATTAGCCACTTTAAGAAATCCAGCATCAAATTGTTTCTTCACTTCCTCTTTAATCTTGAGCAGCATCTCGGGTCTCTTCATCTCAGTTTTATTGTACCGGTTTACATTCAGGCTTATGGCAGTTTGTGAACAACCAACTCTGTATCAAACCTGGCATATCTTCGTATGACCAAGCAAACACATCCTGTATTCTTGAAGCAATTCTATCAAATCATGTCGACTCCAACTGACAGAGTGGTACCAATCTTTACTTCCCTCTTATCCTCATCTGTCCCCAAATTCAAAATCTTGTAGACTCTTTATGAGGCAGAATCTGCTTATCTTCATTCTCCACCATTTTCAGCAATTCAGAAGGTAGTTCACATCCTCATTATCATCACAATCCTCGATTTCTCCTTGACATATAGGTTCTCGAAATCATCTCCAGGTCAGAGTCATTGGCATTCATATTATGATATCTGAGCTCCTGAAAAAATAATGAAAAAGAAGATATATACATATATACATATGTGAGGATCTTTTCCCATATAATAAATAGAAAGAAATAAATACATACATATACAACAAAGAATGAATGAATGAAATGCATAGGAAAATATTTGCCATTTGGAACTAACAGAATGCATCTTTTATTGAAAGCAAGAAAAAACAAACAGCTTAACCCTTTACATAAAATCACCTATTGCCCCAGGGTATGAACAACAGGGAGAAAGTTCCAGTGCATTACTCTGTAAAAGATTTGTAAACTACAGGCAGTTCTTTCGCGGTCCAATGTTCAACACGAAGCCGGCGGTGCAGGATAAATGCCCATAGCTTCATTTCCTCAACTCACCATCAGTTATAACATTAATGCCTAAATCTCCCAAGGCATTCTCAACCATCACCTCGGTGTTCCTTGAATTCCCTTGAAACATATGTCCCCCAGATATGAAAATGCTGCTCAACGGCGGGAAGGTCATGGGTTCCCAGCTAAGGTCTTCACCAGCCAATCTGGCCTTTCTCATTTCCTGACCCTCTTAATTCCCCTCAGCTTATCCCTCGGAGTTGGCTGTACCCAAACCAATCGATCTTTTAGTAACATGGCATATTGGATTTACCGGTCCTTGCAACTGTCGACCTAACCCCTTTCCAACTTTCGCTCCTCTTCCAAGAGTCAATTTGAGCCCCATCTTGGTACAGTCTGACAATCGAGGCTTTGGTATCTTCCTACCTTCGGCCACGAACGTAGCATTGACAAACTCCAACGATCTGAAAGAACACTCGACGGCTTGCTCATCAACTTCAATATACAGAGCAGTAGTAGAAACAGAAGCAATAATGTCCTCTTCAGCATGAATACATACCAACCTTCCAACAATCACAAATTTCAGTCTCTGGTGCAATGTGGACGGAACTGCACCGGCCTGATGAATCCAAGGCCTTCCCAACAACAATTGTATGTGGTATAATGTCCATTACGAGAAATTCCACTTCATAAGTTGCTGACCAATTCAGAGGAACATCATCTTGCCCAACACTTCTCTTTTAGTCCCATCGAAAGCTCGAACCACACTTTGACAGGTTCTCATAAGTGTACTATCTAATGGAAGCTTCTTTAGAGTCACTAAGGGCATCACATTCAAAGCTGAACCATTATCAACCAAGACCCGGGACAACACATGCCCTTTACATTTAACTGTAATGTGCAAAGCCTTCTGACTACCCATCATCCCAGAAGGGATTTCATCCTCAGAAAAAGATAAAAAATTATCATCTTGTACATTGGAAACTAACCGATCCAACTTTTCAATGGGCAACTCTTTCGGAACAAAAGTCTGGTTCAAAACCTTTAACAGAGCATTCCTATGGGCCTCTGAACTCAAAAGTAATGATAAAACAGAAATACGGGCAGGCAACTTGTGTAACTGTTCCACAACACTGTACTCACTGTGTTTCAGAAATTTCAAAAATTCTACCGCTTCACTCTCGGTTACCGGTTCATTGATAACAGGCTTATCTTCTTCTATCTGCACATCCACTTTTTTCCCCTTATCAACTGCAACCTTCTTCTCAGACTCTTTAGGTGGATTAAGAGAATAACACCTACCGCTTCTAGTAAAGCGTCCCACCTCATCTACTTCCTCATTCTCTTTTGTTACATCTCCCATCTGGCAATCATATCTCCAAGGCACTTGTTTATTATCCCGATATGGGAATGGAGATGGAGGTGTAATAACCACTTTCGGGGCTACCTTCTCAGCAACTCGATTTTTGGGAGTAATAATTAGGGGACAACTGGCATTGTATACCCCTTTAGACGATCCTTCTGAAGCGCAAACTTCTGCTTCCTCTTCTTCAGCAATCTCTTTAAAGAACTCAATTTCTTTATTGTCCATCATGTCTTGTACCAAAGATAGGAAGTCAGGACATTGCTGAATATTGTGTCCTTCACTGTTATGATACAGACATACCTCTCCACTGTTAAACTGTTCACCCGTCAAACTGGGCTTCAACAATCCTACCTTGACCATCTGGCACCACACCCAACTCATGGGTGATACCACCTCACTAACATTCCTTACAATTATCTTTCCTTTCTCTTCAGTAATCGCGTTACCTCCTGCCCCTGCATGGCTTGGCAACGGATTCTGAGCTATATTTGGCTGCTCACTGTCACCAAAGTTGATGACATTCCTCGTTCTCAAAGCTTGGACAACCTTCTTAAAAGTAGTACAATTCTCAATGGAATGCCCAGGGTTCCCTGCATGGTACTCACACTGAGCACTAGCATCATACCATTTGGGAAAATGAGGTTGCATTGGTGTCACGTGATACGGCGAAACCACATGCCGATCATACAAAATCTGAAATAATTCCTTATAAGTCATCGGGATGGGGTCAAATTGAGGCCTCTCTCTCCTCTGGTCCCTTGCCCCTTGTCTATTATCATTTTGTGTTGACGACCCTGCTCCTTGAGGACTGGAAACAGTGATGTTATTAGAATCGTATTGCCTCACATTACTGACTTCGCTTTCCTTTTTCCTCGTTGGTGGCCTCTTATTAGACTCTCCTCCTTCGAGCTTTCCACTCTTAATCGCCATTTCAATCATTTCTCCTGCTGTAACCACATCAGCAAAACTTCGATAAGGATTACCGATAAGATGCGAGAAAAAAAGAGCCTTTAAGGTGTTGATAAAAAGCATATTTGTTTCCTCCTCTTCCAATGGTGGGTGGACTTGCACTGCTACATCTCTCCATCTTTGAGCATATTGTCTAAAACTCTCGTTAGACTTCTTTTCCATTCCTTACAACATCATCCTGTTGGGCCTAACATCTTTCACATGTTTGTATTGCTCAAGAAAGGACTTATCCAAGTCTTTCCACGATTTAATATTAGCTCTACTCAGCTGGTTATACCATCGGATTGCCGAGCCAGTTAAGCTTTCCTGAAAGCAGTGTATCAACAATTGATCGTCCCCTATGTATCCGGTCATCTTCCTACAAAACATCATGATATGCGCAGAGGGACACCTAGTACCATCAAACTTTTCAAAGTCAGGAACTTTAAACTTTGGAGGCAAGACCAGATCAGGAACTAGACTTAACTCTTTTGCGTCAAATCCATAGACACTGGTATCTTCCTTCATGGCTCTGACCTCTCTTTCTAACTGCTTCCATTTCTCTTCCAACAGATTGTTTTGGTCCTTCTTGGCTTCTTCATCAAGGTCCGGAACTTGATGATATTGATGTTCTTCCTGATATGAACTAGATCCAGGCTGTACGTTAACAGAAGCACCGACTGGATTAATGTGCACCTTCCCGACATGAACAGGGGTCATTTGAACGTTCTGAGATTGTTCTGGGGTTAACCCTAGATGATGAAGTGGGTCCTCAGTTACACCTTCTGGCATAGGGCTTTTCCCATGTTCTGGATTTCTTCCTTCCAACATACTCGCAAACTTAGCAAACATCTCCTTTTGGGCATTCATCATATCCTCTTGCATTTTCTTGATATTATCTTGTAACTCCAACTGAGCCTTCTCAATTTGGGCAAGTTTGTCTTCCATAACTTTCTTCTTGGTTCTGTAGATATGCTTGGGATTTTCCAGTATTACTCTGTCACAGAGTTATTTTGTTATCGCTGATATTTATTAATGAATATGAAATATATGATTATGAATAAATAAAATGCGATGCAAAAATTAAATGTATTAAAAATGCATATGCAAAATGCAGGGTGTTGATCCTGGAACGACTCCTTAGAACAACTCTTTATATTAAAACGACATTCAATTACAAAGTTGAAACATATCACAAATAAATCTGCACCATCTCTCCTATTTCTTGTACATGTGCTAGCAACTCTACAATCTTCTGATTTTCTTCAACTTCTGGATCCAGTTCTTCAGTTACATCAGCAGCTTCCTCAGATAGAATGACCAAATATTGAGCTATTCCCCGCGCGTGTTCTAGGTAACAAGCAATAAAGTCCTCTCTTTGCTTAACTCTCGCCTGAGCTCGCTCCCATCGAAAACGCCACTGTATATCCCCCTCATAAGGAACTATCGATAGCTCACTTGCTTGCCTCTGAAAATCTTGAACCATGGCTTCAAGCTTACTCACTTGTTTTTTCAAACTTTCAACCTCCCCACGGCTCGAGCTACCTTCCCCGCTTCGGTATCGTCGTAATGCAGTCTCTAAACTTGAAATTTTCCCCTTCAACTTCTCATTCTGGGCTTGACTCTCTTGTAACCGCTGCTCTAAAGAATCATTTCCTTCGATAAAATCTTAACTTGGTGCCTGCTTTGCTTGAGCTCTTCTTGACTCTCTCCGGCTACTCTTTTGAGGCTCGCCACCTCTTGCCTCAATTCGACAGACTTACTCGAGCTAGAACCTACTTGAGCTTTTACCATTCGCTGATAAGTTGATCGAAGATCGTCAAAACCCAGCCGAAGTTGCTTCTCTACTTTTTCAATTCGATCTGCTCTACTCTTCTGAATGTCAATCTCCAATCCCTTTTGATACATTTCATCTTCTAGCTTCTGTAAAGTCATTCTCCATTGTCTCCGTTCTGCTTCAAAATCGCGCTTGGCTAACTCTAATGGAGATGGCACCACTCTTAATTGTTCCTTCACCGGCTGAATATTTTCAGGATTCACTATCGGGATGTTGTTATTTACTCGACCGCTTCTCCACTGCTTGTACTCTTGAGATAACTCGAGATAATAGGTGAACAAATTCACTCGACGAGTTTGCTTCCAGGCCTCAGCAACCCCTTTAACTTTACCCTTATACTGATCTCCTTTGAATGCAAAATCCGATCCTACAAAGTCCCACGTGGATGGAATGAACTGTCTCGATCCATACTGTCTGGAAACTAGTAGCGGTGCATACCCAACAGAACCCCATATACCTGGCAAAGGAACCCAATCTCGCTCTCTACATCGGTAAAGTATATCCGAAGAGGTATTCCACGAAGCTCGCCACAAAATATCTCCATCTCTGATATCCTTGAAGATGACCATCCATTTTTCTTCGGTGAAGCCCTCAGGTCATTCTTTAGAAAGAAAATCTTTCAAAGGTGAAAACCCCTCTATAAAAACTCATCCTGGTGCCCTTTCAACATGTTTGAAATGACTCAGAATCCACTCTAGCAGCAAAGACGCACATCCTATAAAGCGTCCTTCTCCCTCGCGCCTACAAGAACTCAAAGACCGGAACATCTCAGCTAAAATGGCTGGAACAGGATCCACGTGCTTGTCTAATCTTTCAAACAGGTCAACGACTGATACGTCTACATATCCTAGCACCTTTGGAAAAATAACGAGCCCATAAATCCCTAAAGCAAACAAGTCAAGCTTCTTTCTCTTATCAGGGTGATGATCAATTACTTCTTTCAAAGTAGCCCAAGAGATGCACTCACTGTCTCCTTTCTTCTTAATGTTTCTGACTACCCAGTCTTCACTCATTCCGGTCATCAATAGTAATTTCTTCTTAAACGAAGGAGTGACTGGCAGCTTGGTATATACTCTATTCATCTGGGACCTCGAACAACGGACCAAATCTTGATACTCCTCTATTGTTGGTGTTAGATCCACTCTACCAAATGTGAAACAGCTATAAGCCGGGTTCCAGAACTGTGCCAATGCTCTAAACAGATTTCGGTCAATAGGAACATCCAGAAGATAAGGAATATCGCTGTACAACTGATACAACATCTCCTTATCGGCTACTGTACATCTTCCCCATATCTCCTTTAGCTCACTTAGATCATTCTGACGCACGTTGATGTGAGTATAACCAAATAACTCTGACACGTATCCAGGCATCACGCTGTCCCCATTGGTCAGTTGGGACTGTTCCGACCACCTCAAAACATTTGCATTGTCTTCAACCTCTTTCTGAGCCGTTCGTTCCATATTACTGGCCTTCTATATGGACATCGATCCCAAATCAACACCATGTAATGGATCGTGCAATGCAAAACAAAAAAGAAACAAGGCAAAGATAACAAAAGATCGGTTAGTAAACATAAAGCAGTTAAGTCGGGATAATAATTTATTCAAGAATCCTACCCACACATGCTGGCTACCCAATCATGCTTTATCAGATCCTACCCAACATGATATCTACCCCCATGCCTCGTTATTCACAAAAAGAAAACCTAACCGTATGATATCTAATTCGCATGCTTGTTTGAAAAATAAACCTAACCGCATGATATCTAGTTCGCATGCATTTATTCGAAAAACGAAAATAAATGACTCAAAAAAGCTTTTCCTTGTGTACCCTCTTCACGGGATTCTTAAGGTTCGGGTTTGGCTCAACCTAAGTTCAGGCTTTACGTTCACTATATGCCGGGTTAGGTTCTAAAGTAATAGGTTCTCGAATTGTCCTTGTCGGTGCCCCCTTGGGCTGCCGAACCCTCAATCCTGGCCCATCACAGGCTTTAGGGGATCGAGTTCAATTTCGAGGGAACACACCTCCTTATGTCCATGCGGAGGTGATTACCATCACGAGGACCATAAGGCGTGAGCTCCAGGAGCGATCCACTATCCCATGCGGAGGTGAAAACCACACGAGGGCATAGTCTCTCACTCCTACTTAATTAGGACGGAGCGGGGTTTTAGCTCATGTCATGAAAATGCAACTGTGCAGTGTGTGAGGAAAAGCAAAAAAACACAATAAAAACACTCAAAATTTCCTAAATTCACACAATTAATCTGAAATCATTAGCAAACAAATTAGTACAACTATTTAATTGTTAATCGAATTAAATTAAAAAAAATAAAAATACAAACAAAACCTATTAAAAACCAAACAATGGATAAAAAACCAAATTAAAACAAATTTATAACTTTCAATTGCAAATACACTTAATTAATCGACTATCGGCCTGACTCTCTAAAAAAAAGTCCCAGCAAAGTCGCCAAGCTGTCGAAACGATTTTTTTCTCAAAAAGTGAAAAAAGGTGAGATTTTGAAAACCACATTAATTCTTAATTATCTCTTTTTAATTTAAAAACAAATGCGATTTAAAAGACCTCTCGTTTCAAAAATTTTTGGATTTCCTTTACGATCGAAAAATATGGTTCAAAGAGTCGCCACCAATATTTGATTAGGGTGTGATTGGGCACCCAAAAATGCTTTGTCATTTTAAATAAAAATTAATTTTAATTAAAACAACAAATTGAAGTCTGCGTTACCAAAATCCGAGTTCGGGAGTCGATTACGTGTGGGGAAGGATTATCACCCCACAACGCCCTAAATCGGTACCTAGTCGATTAATTAACGTTTTTGCAATGAACTTTACAAATTCAAACTTAATTTGATTTTTGATCCCATAAAACAAAGATATAAATTTAAAAACATTAAACAACACTCAAACAAATTAAATTAAAATTACAAAGTCGTTTTAGAAAGATAAAGAATGTTCGATTATTTACAAATATCGAGACCAGATCTTAAAGATATAACAACCTTTTCTCGATATATTTAAATAAACGAACATTTCTTTTTCTCTCGTTCCCAAATTTTAGGTGACGAATCAATTTTTTAGTTTCACTTTCGGGATACACTTTTATTTTAAAATCATTAAAAGCGGACCTCAAATCAGTTATGACTGCCCACTTACAACAATTTTAAATTAAAAGGGTATTACCCTTAATCTAATTATGTAATATGTCGAGTTATGCAAATGATGTTATCATGCATATTATGCAAAATAATGTCATGCAAAAATTAATTAAAAAAACATTAAAAGTATCATACAACGTAGCATACAAAAAATTATATACGCATATTTTAATTACAAATTATAAACTATGCCTATTAACATACAATGTACAAATATGACTCAAATATAAAAACAAAAACATAACATGCTAAACTAAAATATTAAAAAAACTAAATTTGAAGAAATGTAAAATTCAGTATACTACACAAATTCAGACCATTTTAACATTAGTAATTAAATTATACATAATATTTACATGTTATCATGAAAATATGAAGAAACAACATAATGACCTAAATGAATAAACACATAACTCTTAAGGCTAAAGTCATAGAATAGACAAAGTTCAAGTCATAGAACACTAATAATTACATTTCATATACTAAAAATCAAAATAAAATCACAAATGTATGCAGGACTAAACTGTAATCCTCAAAAGAAGCACGTCAAACAAATAAAATATCAAAGTAAGTGAATTCTAGGATTAAAATGAAACATGCAACAACATGAGGTTCAAATGTCTAAAACAGCAAAAAAAATAAAATTAAATAAACTACTACTTGGGACTTAAATTAAATACGGGAAAAATATAGAGACACAATCAGAAACTCTAAAACCATGATTTAAGGATCAAAACGCAAGACTCTGAAAGTTCGAATGGCCCCTACAATGGATACCCACACGCAAAATGGACACTCCAACTCCACTGAACGCTGCCGTTTCATTAAGCCATTATGCATGTAATTTCAAGTTTTTTAAAAAAAAACCTTAAATTCCTTTCCTCTTTCCAGCCGTAACCCCCATATTCTCAAACAACACCTCTCACCCATCTCCTTCATTTACAACGACGTTCCTCCTCCTCTCTCTCTCGATGAACTCTAAACCAAGCCTCAAAAAAGAGAAAGCAAGCTCGAAGATTGGCCAAGAACTCCGACGATACGACCCTGACAACCAAGGTAACGCTACCATTCCCTTTACATCATGTTACTTATGGAAACTCTATAAAACGAAAGGGGAAAATGAAAATCTCTTGAAATCTCTTGCTTTGCTATGATTTCTGTCTTAGAAAAGTAACAGTGAGAAAGAATGATTCTGCTCGTCACTTCTTGTTGATTCGACTGTGTGGTCGATTTTAAGAATAACCACTTTTTTTTTTACAACGTTGATGGATGATTTCTTTCTTTTACTATTTTTGAAATGATGCAAACACACACAAAGAAGAACTAGAAAACGAAAAGAAAGCAAAATCAGAATACCTTAAAATTCCTTGTATTTTATTGTTTTCTCTGGTTTGGAATTGTGAGGATACACTATTGTCTCTCTTTGTATTCTTCTACAATGTGGAATTGTTGATGACTAATGGAGTCTTCGGCTGGTAGTCCCTAATTGTTGTTTTCTTCGCTTCTAGTGTGAAAAATCCCCTCTGACTCTCTCAATTCTAAATTTTTCTCTGTTTGTGTTCCCTCCTTGATGAAATCCTCTCTGTTTTTTTTTGTTGATTCCTCCTTTTTTTTCTTTGCTGTGTGATCCTTGTTTTTGTTCTCTCTCCCCCCTCTCGTGAACGTGATGAACTACTGATATATCTCTCTAGTTCTCCATGTTTTTTTTGTTTTTTTCCGTGTTGTCCCCCTGTTTCTGGTGGTTAATTGCCCATTAAAAACTGACCCTCCACTCTCTATAAACCGTCCCCCCTTTCTGCTCAAAACTGCCTATCTTATTGGCATAATTCAACTGAGCACGGGTTGGGTTAGATATCATGTTGGGCTCGATTCGAATTGTTTAATATTCTATAAGCCCGGACAAAACGAGCATCTACAATAATTATCTAGAAAAGGAGGTACCAGATCTAGCATTGCGCCAAAACACCCATCTCAGCAAAGGTTGAGATTACTAACATGTTAACCATCAAATCAATATGCAAATTGCATTTTAGCATCAAATAAGGGCTATTGCAAGGGTCGCAAAGATCAGATATATGTCCAGTAGGATTCTTTGATATCAGAGGAAAAACTAGATCATGGTGAACCGATATGGCAATTGCACATTAAAATAATCCAGAGGAGATACAAAAAGCAAAATGATTGATGACTGAACACTATCTGAGACAAGCTTAACTTTTGGCAAAGAACCGTTGGAAAGGAATACATAAACCATATATAATATTACTATAACCCAAAAATCAAAAACATTAGACTAGACTTTCAACCTTTTCAAGCTTTTCTCTTTAAATTGGTTGCAGCCCATCACCATAGGTTTTACTCTTAAAACTTTCTGCTTCAATGTTAACTGACGTAAAGGAATGTGTAGTTCCACCACAAAGACAAAATGGCATATAACTCTCTCTGCTCTGCAATTCAATGGTTTTTAGCATTCTGTACATCTTTTCTGCGTCCTTCTGCAAAGACAATATTGTTAGAGAATATACATAGAATTTGTTAAAGATTATAAAACAAACAGAACATTGCATGTGCATAGCAGAGTAGAATGAGCATAGTGTAGCCTGAGTAGGTGAAATACACATTTATTTTTGAAATTACTCAGTTCAACTAGAAAGAAACCCTAGTCGACACAAACAAATAAATATGAGAAATTGGAAAATTCAACTTAAATGTTATGCACCAGAATCAACATCAGGTTAGTAACTCCTATTTTGTATTCTAAAATAAGTAAGAATAATCATTTGGTAAGATGTAGCAAGTCATGTGTACAATAACACTGAAAAAAGTCGATGATGTGAAGATTTAAAATATTGTCCCAAAATCAAATTTGAGAAAATCAAGATTACCTATCCAAGGTAGTTATGCAATGGATAAATTATCTTTTCTCTCAGGTTTCATATCATGAGTTGAGTTGTGAATTCCAATAAAGAAACCACTTTTTTTGGTCCATAGAACAAAATGATAAACAAAAAGCAGAAATTTATGTGTCAACACTAATAACATCCACCTCGGATGCATTCATTGGATGTCAAGAAAGTAATGAATAACTGCACTAAAGCAAAACCAGCTAAGTCATTTTTTCCTTCCAAAAAAAAAAGATACTAATGAAAATTTAAAAATTGAAGCCTTTTCAAAAAAAAAAAAAAAACTCATATGTCGACTGAACCACAAAGTGGAAAAAGACTTGATATTAAGTTTCAGTTGACACTAGTCCTGGGTTCAATCCTTGAACCACCCCTTTCCCCCTTCCCCTAGAAAAAGATAAATAAATAAATCAAATATATTTACATCCTACTATAGTCACTCGAGATAAATTTGTACCACTAATTTGTCAACTCTACTAGCTCGATATACCATCTGGTGGGACACGTAGCTTGCTGGATAGTAAGTTGAAAAGAAGTGTTCTACCGTCTCACTGTATGACTGATCCCGAGTCCACGGGATGCCACGGACTATAACGGTGAAATGACTTGGATTCACAGGAGATCCAGTAATATGTGCTAATCTCATTTTAGTGATGCTTTTGTACTCCTATAGCAAATCAGTAATCATAAATGAATGCTAGAGGAAGTTTAAGAATGCATCAGTAAAAGTCAAATCATATATAAGTCAAATAATGCATTTCAGTATGCAAATCCTTACAAAGTAAAGGAGAACACAAGCTGAGCAGGATATGACGTATAAAGCAAGACAGTGGGTTCAAAACCCGGAATATTTTTAAAACAAAAAAAAAAACAATCAATAAATAGTTGATTTTATCCAATCTATATGGCCACAAAACCACTATGTTGGAGTTGCATCTTAATATCTCGGCCTGAAGAAGCGCAGCTAGTGGAACAAAAAAAAACTATAAAAAGTCATCGCTCTGAGTACTTGAAATCAATTCTTAATTAGATCTCTCCCAGAAATTTTATAGATGAAGATTAGATAATTAACAAAAATCTTGGATTCTTCCTTTGGATTACATGCAAAAACATTGTAAAGTAGAATTCTACAGGGCATCACAAGTCAAAATTTCACTCATGGTTCACATGGTAGCTTCCAAGTAACATTTCATAGTAAGAAGAAACTAAAGCAACTACATAATAATGGGTCCAATTATCATACCATTTTGAGCCTTCTTTTACATTTCCAATAGTAAATACATCCAGTGATTCTGCATTGATTTTTTTGTGCTGCCTTTCTTGTCCATAATAATTAACTGGAAGCACTAGAAAAACGCAAATCATAGCAGCAATGATGAATATCCGAATACTGTTAAGAACGGGAGGAAAACAGAAGTGCAGTTAGTAAACCAGAATAAGAGAAAACAGACACCAACCAACCATAATTGAAACAGGAAATTACTTCAAAAGTTTTTGGATATAATTGCAAGCATAGTCTTTTGGAGAAACTTAGTAGAAAAACTTAATCACCTGAAAACAACTATTCTCAATAAAACTAGAGCATCCACGCCACCAGCAACCAATATGTCTTCATCAGTTGCTTGCCAGGCCCTCACAATACAGCTCGCAGAGGGCACAAGTCTTTCAAGGCCGAAAGGATCAGGCTTTATTTTTTCTGAAATAAGCCTCCGCATGAAATACACACTGTCATTGCTAGGTTGTTTTCTCAGTATGGAATACAATGACAGCAGCACAACACATATAGCTATATTGATTCCGGCAGAAGTTAAAAGAGCCCCAATGTACATTTCAGTCCCTTATATCCTTTTATCCGAGCTTTAGAAATATAAATAACTAAAGCACTTAACAGAGCAAGGACATCAATATTACTTTCAATTTGCTCAAAACATAATTTTTAATTCCATGACAACTAATGCAGAAAGTAGATTGGCTCAATCTGGCACAAAATCAAGCGCTGCAAAATTGATTTGGGAATTGTCATAGTTAATAAACCAAAATTTAAAAACATTCTCACCGATCAAATCACAAAAACAATCAATTCAATTCAAGTAAGAATAACAATGCTTAAACTAAACGAACATGTGAAACATCATCAAACTTCAAAAAATTAAACAAAAAAAACCCTAATAATAGTTTTCCTTTCTAGTAATAGAGCTAACAAAAATTATAAACTACATTTTTCCTGTCTCATTAACTCTCCATAATTTTCTTTTAATTCATTTCTATATTTCCAAGAAAAAGGATTATACAGAACCTAAAGTAATAACAAATCAAATTTAAAACGAAAAGTGCTCCTAAAAATCAATCCAAGACGGAAACTCGAACGAAATTAAACCAATTGGAAAAAAGAAAAAAAATGCTAAATAAACTAAAGTACCTGGGCAAATATCAGAACCCCCATAAAGCGTAAGAACTTCGAAAAGGTTGTCAACACGAACGCAATGAGATTCCGAAGCAAAATTATTCGCTTGAAAAGTAGGAAACCAAATGCTTGGGAAATTTTGAGTTTATTACTTATACGCCAAATGCTATGCTTTTCCTTTAACTTCAAACAAAAAAAGAAATAGGAATTAAATTCGATCCAATTTGCGGGAAGAGAAAGATAATCAACAGCCCTTGTTCAGAAACAAATTAAGATGGAAAAGCAATTCAAACGGTAATTACACGCGCTAAAATGCTTTCATTGCTTATTATCACTGAGAACATTCCAGCGAATGCCACGTTTAGAAGACTGGATTTATTAGTAATTAATTATTGAATTAATGCGGGGAAATATATAAAAAGAGCAAACCACTTTCTTAACCGGGATGGCGACGGAAGCACCACGTGGCGACAAATTAGGCAGCTCTGTGAGATCCTCTGCCTCAATCTTCGATTCTGCTCGCTACAGTTCTTTTTTGTTTGTTTGTTTGGTTTAGTCGGCTACGCTTGGCACACGCTAGTTTGAGGGTTTTGTTAGTGTTTTTCGCCGCCTAATTTATCTAAAGTGGAGTCGCGGCCGGTAAAGAATCATTGTTGTGAGAATTTAATTATTTTGAGAAATCATTTTAGATTTTAAAATTTACAACAAAAAAACAAATTAACGCATTGAACGGTTTTAAGGGTAAAATAGATTTAAAGGGTAAAATAGATGAGATAATGTAAGTGAGATTTTTTAATTTTTAATATATTTTACTTCGGGAATTATTTTTTCATCTAGGTTGAATTGAACATTATCAAATTAAAGACGTCAAGTATTTCACGTGTCTTCAAGCTAAATATGAAGACTCTACTATTGCATGGCGTCTTCAGACAAATGAAAAAGACTCTACGACTGAAGGGTGTCTTTAGACAAATTTAGAAGCACTCAGGAGTGCACGGCGTCTTCAGACGAATAAGAAGCTTTAATTCAATAAATAATATAGTGGATAACTTATATAGGAAAATTATTTTTCCCACAATCCTATATGGGCGAGGAAGCTCAGTGTCGTAACTAATTTCTGCCCGGGAGCGGGGGGAAATTTAGTACGACTTGGGGTTTTCTTTGAAAAGGATTTTGGAATGTTTTGGAGTCACCATTGACCTTTTGAATTAGGTAAGTCGAATACCTAAAAAATTTCTTTTAAAAGAGTTTTTAAGAAATAATCATTTTAAAAGATTTACCAGTTTACGTATAACCAGAGATTCATTTTTTTTGAAATAAAAAATGGGTTCAGGGGTCGGTTACGTGTGGGGAAGGATGAGCACCCCCACAACGCCCAAAGTTGGTACCTATCGATTATATATTGTCTCTAATTAGTAGAAATCTGAGAATTCAAATATATACTTAAATCACGATTCTATTATTCCGAATTCAACCATACAATATTATAGAACAAAAATTCTAAGGAAAAATAGAAAATATTATCATATTTCCAATTGAAGAGAAAATACTCCCTAAAATACTTTAGGACAAATATTTCTCTTTCTAACTGAAATAAAAGGAATATAATAATTTTTCCTAAAAATTTAATATTAAAATATTTTTTATTCTATCGAAGGAAAAAAAAGTAAACCCATTAATCCTAATTATATTATTAAAAAAGATAAGGGATATTCAATTATTTAAAAATACCGAGACTTAATCCCTAATAAAATTAGATGAATTATCTCAATAAGTTTAAAATAGTGAATATTTCATTTTCTCTTTAAAATTAATTAATTTTAAATGCAATCAATTTTTTTAGGTTTTTCTAGTGGGATATTTATTTATTTATTTTAAAATATCGAAAAATGACATCTAGTTGTCTTAAGACTGTTCCTTCTTAATATTTTAAAATAAATAAATATTATCCTTAATCCAATTATGTAATTAATTAAGTTATGCACTTATCATGCAATCATGCAATTCCAGAAGACAAAGTAATTTAAACATGTTAAAATTAAAATACAAGTTTAATTACGACTAAATGAAGAAAATTTTAACAAACTAACTTAGTAATACGGTCAATTAATAATATAATTAATCTAAGGATGAAAACACAGTCAGGCGAGATTACAAGTTAAAAATAAAAGCAAGAAATTAAAAATAACCTAATATTGGACCAAAATAGCTAATTAAACAAATAAAAGCCGAAAACACAAAAAAATCTCACATTCTGAGTATTAAAATTGCAATAAACCTAAGACACTATACTAAACTAAAATGAAAACCGGGAAAATGCTATGCTAAATACGCGAAGTAATAAAAACTCAACACAACTCAGGATTAAAATGTAACACGCATAAAGATTGATGGTGAAATCAGAAACTATAAAAAGAATAAAACATGGATTAAAATGTAACAAAATAATATTACAAACCTTATAATCAAGAATAAACCTCACATACGTGGGATTAAAGTAAAATACTTCAAAAATAACATGCCCAATGCATAAACCAGTAAAAATATAAAGTAACTAAGGCCAAGGACCAAAATAGAACGTGCGTAAATTTAACAGTTACAATAAAAAACTTCAGAATTTTGATTAAGGACTAAAACGATATTCCTAGCAAATAAAATGATTACTCGCGTAGTTTACCCTTCTCTCAAACACGGGTGCCCTAACACTCCAAACGCCGCCGTTTTATCGCATGCATATATATAATTTTAGATGAAAACTTAACCTAGCCTAACTTATTTTCTTTCAGTCTCTCTCTCTCAATAGCCGCTTCTCATCTCTTCTCTCATCCCATCCAAATCAAAACGGCCACCACAGCCTCTAACGCTCAAGGCCTCCGACGACGACCTCGAACTAAACAGGTAAATGTTTAATACTCTTATTCTTATTATTCGTGTTAGGATTTTCGGAAGCTCGAATCGACAACTGGAACGGTTTGCAAAGAGGGGTCGGAACGGTTTTGTATTTAGGGAGTAAGGAGATTGAAAGATAGAGAATTGCACAACGATTTATAGTGATTCGACTTTCTCAACCAAAGTCTACGTCCACTACCTTAGCTCCTCACCAAGGATTTTCCAACATTTTCACTAATTTGTTCTTTCTTTTGAGGACAAAGAGATAACATTTACAACTCCCTAGTTTTTACGGGATAAACTAGAACCTTTCCCCTAGCTTTTCACGGGCTAAGCTAGAACCAAAACCCCTTTACAATGAAAGGAAAATATAAACAAGAAAACCTCTCAAAAGTAGGTGTTTACAAGATTGAGCTCACAAGAACAAAATATTTACAAGAGAAAGATAAAATAAGAATGAAAAACTCTTCTCTTGTGTTTGATTGCTTGGATAATTTTTCTCTTTTTTCTTCAAGTGTCCTTAGCTTGTATTTATACCTTGGAATGTGTTTGATGTCGTATATAACCGTTGGGGATGTTTTGGAGCCGTTTGGGGATGTTTTTTCTACTCAAAAAGGCTGCCCATAACATGGTGCATCAGTGCACTATCAAGGTGCATCGATACCCCTTCATTAAATTCAAATAAACTAGTTGTTTCTAGCCGTTGCAGCCTTGGTGCATGGATGCACAGCAGGATGCATCGATGCACTAATTGCATTCAAAATGGAGTGCATGGATGCACTAGTGGCAGGTGCATGGATGCACTGCATGGTGCATCGATGCACTAGTGGCAGGTGCATGGATGCACTGCAGGGGTGCATGGATGCACTGCAGGGGTGCATGGATGCACTGCAGGAGTGTATGGATGCACTTTGACACCCTTTACCATTTTTGTTCAAATATGAATTTAATGGACTTTGAATTATTTTTGAAACTTTTTTAAAACTTTGAATAAATTCAATTCAAGTCCAAAAACATTTTACCTTAAATTTGTTATATCGAAACATAATTCAACAATCTCCCCCTTTTTGATATAACAAAACATTTGAAAAATTGTTTTTGGCAAAACTCCCCCTTAATAAAATGTTTAATGAAAAAGATATCAATTGTTAACAAAATGATATCAATTGTTACCAATTGTTTGAAAATATATGAAAATGTTAAGCTCACTCTTTTTCATTAAGAAATTTAATTTTTCAAACCAAACTTCTCCCCCTTTTTGTTATATCAAAAATAATTCAATCTTTGAAGTTCAAAATAACTTTGGAGAGTAAGTACTAAATTTGACATTTTAAAACTCATTTGAAAAATCGAAGCTCCCCTCAATAAATGCATTCCAAACAAAATTTAGCTTTAAGAACTTAACACTTAAACAAAATTGAATTTCAACAAAGAATAACAAACATGTTAGTAGTACATGAAATTCAATACATCCAAGTCTAAAATACTTTATGCAATATCAATTATTAAAATTAAGTGCATATGCATAAAGTTTTATAAAAATATTATGCATTTGAAAAATTTGATATCAATTGTTAGAGAGATATCATTTTCATTTAAACCACATACATAAACATTTAAATTTAGGTAATTTTTTTTATAAAATCAAAGTATTTGAAAAGTTGATATCAATTTTTAGAGAGATATCATTTGCATTTAAAACCAATTTTGACCAAAATTTATTATGATGAACTAAAAATTATGAAAAATCATTAAAAATTTAAAATGTTCATCATAACCATCTTTTCAACATACATGAGATTAAAACAATGATGCATAATCATTTAAAACCAAAACTCATGCATGCTTAAAATCAAATGAGCAACCAAATAACCAAAATTAAAAGCATTAAGCTTAGAGGTTACCCATTCCTTTTTCATATGTGGCTAGAGCATTTTGAATATCATCATTTTCATCACCATTGATCCCATACACCTACAAGAGACATTTAAGTAGATTTTGGTATCCAAATTACTTTGGATCCTTGGACGTTAGTTTCAATGCCCCTTGTTCCTTTCGGAACCCATACTTGTCTAATTTTAAATCGTTTTCCTTTCTTTAAAGGACAAGTATGTTCCAAATGACCATGATAATGACAATGTGAGCATATTGTCATTATTGAACTAAATGAGTTATTTAAAATGATTTCTTTTTCTTTTTCTTTTGTTAAGCATTCAAGCTTAACTTTTAAATAAAAATTTTATTTTTTAAAACTTTCCATTTTTATTTTTGAAAGCTCAAAATCCTTTTTCAAAATTTCATTTTGGCTTTCAAATTATATTTTTGTTTTTAAAAGAAAATCGTTTTCGATTTTAAATTTTGAAATCATTTCCTTATATTTGGAGTTCATGGTCTCAAACTCTGAATATAACCTATATAAAGCATCTTGTAAATCATCAAACGTATATGAATTAAATTCATTTGAGTTAGAA